TAGAGCGTGCGGGTGCGGGGATGGGAGGGGTTTTTTGGGGGTAGAGCAGTGGGGGATGGGAGTGGGGGCAGTGAGTGATGGGAGGGTTTGGGGGGCAGTAGGGGGTGGGGGATGAGAGGGGGTTTTGGGGGTAGAGCAGTGGGGGATGGGAGGCTGTGGGAGGAGGTTGGGGGTATCGTGGTGAGTTGTGGGTCTGTGTCCCTGTGTCTCTACCCCCCCCAATCTCTCCCCACAGGGCCCCCCCAATGTCGGACGACACGGAAAAGAAGGACGAGACGCCCCCACTGGGGCCAACAGAGCTGCAGCTACTGCCCCCCCAGAGTCCCCCCTCGGCCCCAGACGTTCCCCCCTCAGCCCCACTGTCCCCCCAGAGTCCTCCCTCGGCCCCAGACATACACCCCTCAGCCCCACTGTCCCCCCAGAGTCCTCCCTCGGCCCCAGACATACACCCCTCGGCCCCACTGCCCCCCCAGAGGTCCCCCTCGGCCCCAGACACACACCCCTCGGCCCCACTGCCCTCCCAGAGGTCCCCCCTTGGCCCTAGACACACCCCCATCAGCCCCAGATGTTCCCCCCTCATCCCCAGATGCCCCCCCCTCACCAGCAGTGACTGTGATGGTGGAGGATGAGGGGGAGCCAGAGGAAGGGCCCCAACAAAATGGACAGGCCGTTGGTGTGGGGGGTGCCCCCTACTCCCCCCACACCTCCCCCCCTGCCCCAGGCCCCACCGGTGCCGTCAGCACCCACCCTCCCACCCCGGCACCCGCACGCTCTAAATCGGCCTCCCTGGGCGACTTGGGAGGCAAGGCCAGTGTGAACGGGGGGCCGCGGGTGCGGGGCAGCCTGGTGGGGTCCCAGGTGCATCTGGCGGGGGCAGGGTCGCCCCGTCCCAGCCTGAGCCGCCAGCCCTCGGGGCCCGAGGTGGGCCTGGAGGTGGAGAAACCGCGGGATTACATCCTGCTGGCCACCCTGTCCTGTTTCTGCCCCATCTGGCCCATCAACATCGTCGCCTTCGTGTACTCTGTCATGGTGAGAGCCCCCCCAGAGCCCTCCACTGCCCCCATGAGCCCCCCCCAGAGCCCGCCCCACCCCCTGTCCCCCTGAACCCCCACTGGCCCCATGAGCCCCCCAGAGCCCACATCACCCCCTGTCCCCCTGAACCCCCACTGGCCCCAT